CACTTTGGAAGTACCTGAAATATATCCTCATAACGCGAGGTAAGATAAACTCAATAAGCTCGGGGTTTATGGAGAAGTTTCCACCTACGAGTTCACTTCTTGTCGTACATGTTAATTTCCATACACAGATAGACATTATATATTCTCAGATAAGTAAGTTAAGTATTTTAATTCATTTTTACTTTTTAATTAATACCTGTAATCTTATAATTATAATTCCTTCACAAACAAAGCTTAAATAACATATTCTTCATAATTTCATTCTAGTAATTATATTAAACTAGAATTTACCTTTTTCATACAAACATACTTTGCTTCAAAAATTCAAAACTTACATCAGAATATATCCGAACACATCAGAACTTATCAGAACATATCAAAATTTATCAAAACATACCATAACATATCAGAACACATCAAAGCTTATCAAAACAAATCAGAACATATCAGAGCTTATCAAAACATATCAGCATCAACTGAAAATCATATACTTTCTTTATTATCAGAAATTCCACCAGAGCTATCCTTTTACGAAAAATCTCTACTTGTACGACCAAATTATTAAATGGCCCCGTACTGGAATGCTCATATACATAATGTATATATTTATCACAACATTCTTACTTCAAATCAAATACTTTGTATTAGTGTATAATAATTATACACCATTCATTAATTAATCATCAGATTCCTCACAACACAACAGTTTCACCTGTTGGTAACAGAATCATCACAGTACTTAAAGTACCTCAAATATAGAATTTCAAACACAACCATAATTAACTGACATACCAACAAACACATTAAATCAGTCAAATCATATCAATTCACATATGTCAATCAAATACAATAACCACTATAGCATGTTATTTATAAATTTAGGTTTAACATCATTCATTAAGTGAAGTCAGTAAAACATGCATATTATAACACCTCACAATTTTAAATTAAGTATTTAAAGTATCAAATGTAATTAAGTGAAGAATTAGTGCAAATCCTAAAGATTAGGCCAAAATACAAAGAAAGGGCAAAACAGTAATTAGCCAACACACAACCCTAGGAAGATAAAAATTGAGTAGAAGGTCTCATATGATAAAAATAACCCTGGAAATGGATTCAGAACGAAAAATTGAGTGGATAGGCAAGTTTTAGAAACATCAGTGAATAGTGTTTTTATCGGGTAAACATACCGCGGTACGATTGCACCGTAAAATGTGCCTGTTGAATTTTGAGCTCTAGGTTTCAAATATGAGTTATAAATGGTCTATAGAACTAGGAAATATGATTTCTGATAATATTTGATGGAATTAAGTCAGTTTGGGGAAGCGTGCCAACGGAGCGCGCACAGCTGAAAATAGTGTTTTCTCCGAACGACCGGAAAACTCCGGATTCATCTGATCAAGTATAATTAAAGGAGGATGGTTAATGTTAAAAATTAAAATTTCTAAATAGGTTTTGAATTTATGGACGTGTAGTGAAAATCGGAGGGAAATTCGGATGAGTTTTAAATCGCGTGGGACCCACCCACTTAAGCTTCACTTAAGCCACCTCACCACTCCACTATTCATCATCATCTCACTCTCCTCTCTCCCTCCAAATCACGCACACAGCCCCCTCCTCCCCTCATTATTGTGCAAATTTTAATTTGATAATAACTTAGCCATTCCTCAACCAAATCCAACTATTTTTGTCTTGAATCTTGATGGAAAACACCTCCTAAACACATTGGTACCAGTCTTGAGCTTTGAAATCGTTTGTGTGAGGAGATCCTACCCATTTTCAGCCGCGGTTTTGAGGAGAAAATTCATGTTCTTGGAGCTTCCAAGTGCTCCAATGGTGGAGTATAGTTAGTAGGAGCCTTGTACCTTCCATTTGGGTGAGTGTTCTTGCATTTTAAACGATTGAATGTGATGATTTGATTTTGAACCCTAAACCTTTGATTGTTGATGAGTTATGTTAGAGAGCTCAAATGAAAAATATGTATTAGATGATAATGCCTTAGAATGACGTATTAAAGCTAGAAATGCCATGAAAAATTTAGGTGAAAAAATGGATTTTTAACATAGAGAAATTTTGGTGGTTATGACTTGGATTTTTGGAAATGTGTTAGGATGTATTGGTGAGTTGTTGAATGATTGTATGTTGATAATATGAGACGGTATGAGGTGTGGAATGGTTAAAAATTGAAAGAAATCCTTTGGTATTACATAAGGCATAATTCGGCCATGTCAGAGAAAGTGAGGAATTGTGTTGGAAAAATTATTGGGATGATGTGTTGTGTAATTAAATGGTAATTTAGATGGTTTGTATGGTGATTGGACGGTTGGAAAACCAATAGAAAAATAATTGGAAGTGTTAAGTGTTGAATTGACCTATAGTGAATTATTAAGCAAACTGATGCGTAAAAGACGTAAAACGGTGAAACGACACTTGAATTAGCCTCTTGGCAACCTAAGGATGAGTAATAAAATGAGAAAGAAAATTTAGAAAAATAAATCTCAAAATAACACCAATTTGGCCGAACCTTCAAAAAGGAAGGGGAGGATTTTGTGATTTTCGCGTTTTGATGGAATTTGACGTATATTGATGGTTGTACATGGTTGTATAGGTTGTCGTACGTCGATCTGAATCCCAAACCGTGAATCAGTGGATTGCCCTTGGTCCCGGACCAATTGGGTTGAGGTAAGTGTTTGGATTAATGCATGCGTAATTGTGAATTGGCATGCGTTTTGTGAACTTTGAGTAATTGGGAACGTCCTATGTGTAAGCGTTCTGTTGAGTAACAAACTTGGAACCTAAGCTGCTGTGGAGCTAGGTGAAAGACATTTGAGGTAACCTCTTGGTACTGGGGCTTGTTCCCCTTTTCTGTTCCACCATACCCGTTGAAGGTAATGGTAGAAAGTGTATATGAGTAGTGTAGAACAGCATGAGCATGCATGTAGCATTTATGAGGGTACTTATGTACCGAGTCTCTGGCCAGTAGACAGTGTAGCCTTCAGGCAGTGCAGACTTCCACTAGATAGGTCTCTGAGAGGGAGTTTCAGTTGACCTAAGGTCGTGGTGTGTCATCCGGTAGGAGCACACTAGGAATGTCTCGGGTGTATATGGATGGAAGGGGTACCTTGGTTGTGGTTCTTGGAACACACCTTGGATGATACCTGTAGGCTTATATGCGGAGGACGTTGCGTGGTATTGGTAGCTACCATTCCAGCTTCGTCGTATTTTATATCCTGATATTCCCCAGTTTCTCTAAATCCCTTGCTATATCTCGTTTTGAAAGTGGTTGTTTTATATTACTTATATGCATCGAAGTGAACCATTGGGCGGAGTTTTCTCCAGAACCTCTGTGTTACTGAGATATATGCGTATATCTCACCCCGTCTCGGGGCACTATTTCAGGAGGTAGCAGTGGCAGTGGAGCGGCGGGCAAGAAGCCTGTGGGATGATTAGATGGAGCATTTCATTATTTTGCATTTTGTTGGCCATGTGGCCTAGGCTAGACTTAGGGCATGAACATCTCATATGTATGTAGGATGAGTTCAGTAGCATATTTGTTCATGTCATTTTGCCTAAGTTTAGTAGTTTATGTCATTAAGCTTATGTTTTGATTTGTATTTAAGTTGTAATATTTGGGAAGATTGTAAATTTAAGTTGAAGTTACAAGTTGTAATATGTAAGTGTATGTTGTAAATGGAAAAGAGATGCATGATGTATTATGATGGAAAGGCCTTAGGCCTATTTTAGGTTTATGACTACTTGTACGTTGGATATATGCATGAAATTGGAGTTGGTGATTTAAACTACTTAAGAATTTAAAGTGAGCTATATGTGTAATAAATATAAACTGGATTGGGTTGTAAGTGCCCGAAGGCGTTGTTGGTCCTTGTGTGTGCCACCCATTGGATTATTATTGGATTATTAGGTACATTTGAGGTACTTTTGGAGCTTATGCAAATATGGGGATTTCAGGAAAAACAAAGGAAACCCTCGCGAATTTTCTGTAGAATTGGCAGATTTTAGACGAATTTTGGGAGAACATATCTCCCTCCACAGAGGTTTGATAGGGACGTGACATACACCATTTTGAAGCTTGAGATGTCCCCATACATGGTGATAAAATATGAGGTTGTTCTGAGCTAGGCGCTGGACTTGGGAGGGCTGTGAACACAGCTTCCTTGTTTGCCCTGCACTTGAGGGTTGTTCTGGCCGGTTTTTGAGAAATTAATTCCCGCTTCGTTTCTCAGTCAAATTAAGCGTATGATATATCAAATTGAAGTTTGAGGTGTATAGTTTGTAGTATAAAAATTTGAGAACAATTAGATGAGTGTATTTGCTGCAGAAATTCGTGGAGTGAGAGAGGTTTTGAGCTGTTTTGGGGTTGGTTGGCTGTTTTGCTTATCCAACTTCAAACGGCGATAACCGGAGCAAATGAGCTCGGAATTGAGTGTGTGATAGCTTATTAAAAAGGGAATTAAGTAAGACAAAAACATAATCTGAGAGGAAGGTCTGGTTGTGAGCGGTTTGTTCACAGAAAAATAACTGGTGAATCATGTTAGAATAGGCAAAAACGTAAGATTGAGAAATTGGCTAAGTGGGTTTATAAGGACCCCTTACTAACTTATAATAAGTAATGTAAGATATAAAATTAGTTAAAATAAGTATTCCGCAAGAGTTTACAGTTACAGTCACAGCTTTTAATTATTACGCTTTTTATCGTTTTAAATGCTTGCGTAATAATCGGAAGAAGTTTATTCGCATTTTTATAAATAAATTGTTGTGATTGTAACTGCGCTTAATATCATAATTAATGTTAACAATACCGATGTACAACGGGCTGTTACATTTTTTGGTATCAGAGCAGTTTTGCAAGGGAACTTTGATAATGCATTACTGTATCTTGTGTTGCATAGCTATCTGTGAACTGTTTATGATTAATGTATATGTGATTCCTCAGTGTGGGTCTGATCAGCTCATTCCTTTGTGTTACATGTACAGCTATCATGAGCAGGGCACGGGGTCACCGTGGAGCTAGAGGTACAGGTCGTTTAGTAGCACCAGATCCTATTACTGCAGTTCTGAATGCTCTGCAGGAAGAGACTGCTGCAAATAGAATTATGACCGAGACCCTGATGAAAAATAATCAGGATATGATGCATGCCTTCATGAATGAGATGAGGGAGGATAGGGCTCGGCACAGGAGGGATGATTCTCCTCCACATACGGCTACAGAGACTCATACCTGTACGCCATCTGTTACACCTCACCAAGAGGGGAGTGGGGCTAGTCGTCATTCGGCAGAGGCTAGTTGTCACACTACTGATCCTACCTATATCCCAGAGCCTTCTGTGGATCCTTCTGTGGTTGCTCAATCTGCTGGGGTTGCTGGGCAAGTATTTGTGGGTACTGATGAGCAGAGACTCATTTCTTTTAGAAAACATAAACCGCCATCATTTCAGGGGTCAAGGGACCCGAAAGTAGTGACTACCTGGTTGAGGGGTATGGACAAGATATTTCAGGTTATGGGGTGTCAGGATCCCCAGAGGTTATTATATTCTGTTTATATGCTTGAGGGAGATGCCCACGAGTGGTGGTACACTACATCTCATCCTTTTATTATTCAGGGGGGAGAAATCACCTGGGCCTTATTTGAAAGATTATTCCATGAAGAGTACTTTCCCAGGGATGTTCGAGAAGCTAAACAGGGTGAATTTCAGAAATTGGTACAGGGTACCATGACTGTTGATGCCTATGTGGCAAAGTTTAATGAGCTAGTGAAATTTGCTAATTATGGGGATGTGCTGCCGACTCCTGAGTTCTTATCCGCCAAGTTTCAGAGAGGTCTTAATGAGAAAATTGCAAAAAGAATGTCCAATACTATTGTGAGGAATTTTGCGGATCTTGTGACCCAGTGCAAACAGGTAGAAAGTGTTTATAATCGCTATCCAAAATCTGGTTCTTCGAGGACATCTGGTCCTCCAGGTAATAATAACAAGGGTGGTTATCATCAGAATAACAACAGAGGTAGGGGGTTGCAGGTAAGGCAGCCTCTGGGACAGTTCAAGAGAGGAGGTGGTCAGAGAAGTGGGTTCAATGACAGGAATTCTAATCCCCGTTGTGATAAGTGTAAGAGATTTCATCAAGGGCCTTGTACTACGGCTCCAAATGCTTGCTTTAAGTGTGGTAAGGTTGGGCATTATGCCAACAATTGTTATAGCAATACTGGGCAGGCTGCGAATCTGCAGGCCTTGCCATCTGCTCCTACGGCTGGGCGTGTTTATACTACTAATGCGCAGCAGACGGAAAAGGCACCAAATTTGGTAAAAGTATAATTTTCATCTCTAATATTGATTTATCTGTTTTATTTGATTCTGGAGCTACGCACTCGTTCGTGGCTGAATATGTGGCTACAGGGTTAGAATTAAAAGTGTCACGGATGATTCCCCTATGCGTATTACTACGGCTACAGGAGAGGTTAGTGATTCCTCCTTCATTTGCAAAGAGGTCGGGTTTGTCTACGATGGCAGGGGCTACACTATCGATTTAATTATCCTTCCCCTGGCCTCTATTAATTTGATATTGGGCGTGGATTGGTTGTCTCAAAACTGCGCAATGATTGATTCCTGCGGCAAGAGGTTGATATTATCTAACGAGAAGCCCTCGGTTACTTCGTCTCCCTTTTTGTCTATGTGTCAAGCTGTTAAAGCCTTGAAGGCTGGAGATCAGGGTTATATTTTCTTGGGTGGATTGGTGGGTGGTAAGGAGATTGAAATTTCTACGATTCCGGTAGTTAATGAGTTTGTGGATGTATTCCCTGATTAGATACCGAAATTTCCACCTGAGAGAGAGATTGAATTCTCGATTGAATTGTTGCCTGGTGTGGGGCCTATTTCCTTGGCTCTATACCGGATGTCGCCACTTGAATTGGCTGAGTTGAAGAAACATATTGAGGAGCTGTCTGCAAAGGATTTTATCAGACCGAGTGTGTCTCCGTGGGGAGCACCGGTAATCTTTGTGAAAAAGAAGGATGGAAGCATGAGACTGTGTACTGACTATCGGCAATTGAATAAATTTACAGTTAAGAACAGGTACCCATTGCCGCGTATTGATGACTTGTTGGATCAGTTGAGGGGTGTCTGTGTGTTTTCGAAGATTGATCTCCGGTCCGGATACCATCAGATTCGGATAAAGCCGGAGAATGTGCCTAAAACAGCGTTTCGTTCAAGATATGGACACTATGAGTACCAGGTGATTCCATTTGGGCTTACAAATGTCCCGACAGTGTTCATGGACTATATGAATCGTATCTTTAAACCGTATTTGGATCAGTTTGTGATTGTGTTCAACGACGATATCTTGAGCTATTCTAAGAGCAAAGAGGATCATACTAAGCATCTGAGGACTGTATTGCAGATATTAAAGGATAAAAAGTTGTATGCAAAGCCGTCAAAGTGTGAATTCTGGCTATCTGAGGTCCAATTTCTGGGTCATGTTATTTCTGATAGGGGTGTTGTGGTAGATCCAAATAAGATTGATGTTGTTATTGACTGGGAACAGCCGAAAACTGTTACTGAGATCCGGAGCTTTCTGGGTCTTGCTGGATATTATCAGCGGTTTATTGAGGGGTTTTCTACAATGGTACTGCCATTGACCCGATTGACACGAAAGGATACTCCTTTTGTGTGGACCCAGGAATGTGAGAGGTGTTTTCTGGACTTAAAAGAGAAATTGACTACTGCTCCTGTGTTGACCCTCCCCGATCTGGAAGGTGAGTTTGAATTATACTGTGATGCTTCCAAGAATGGTTTGGGGTGCGTGTTGATGCAAGAAAGGAGAATTGTTGCTTATGCTTCGAGGCAGTTGAAGCCTCATGAAGAAAATTATCCGACGCACGATTTGGAACTTGCTGCAATTGTGTTTGCCTTAAAAATCTGGAGGCATTTTCTGTATGGGATGAAGTTTGCTGTGTTCAGTGATCACAAGAGCTTAAAGTATTTATTTGATCAAAAAGAGCTGAACATGAGACAGCGAGGTTGAATTTTTAAAAGATTATGACTTTGAGCTGAAATACCATCCGGGTAAAGCTAATGTGGTAGCAGATACATTGAGTAGGAAGTCTGTCAGCGTGTCCCAGTTGATGTTGTGGGATAGCGAAGTGATTGAACAATTCCGTGATTTGAAATTGACGGATGTCTTTATTGGTAGTGTGGAAGAATTTGAGTGCTTACGGGTGGAAAATAAATTGTATGAGAAGATTAAAGAAACATAGGTACGGAATGGCAGTGCCAAGTATTTGAAAGGGCAGAGTGGTATAGCTTTGAATGAGCAAGGACTATTGATGTACCAGGACAGGATTGTAGTGCCCAAAGAGTTAGCAGAGGAGGTAATGTTTGAGGCCCATAAGGGTCAGTATGTTGTACACCCAGGTGCCACAAAAATGTACCAGGATCTGAAAACTAAGTTCTGGTGGCCTGGGATGAAGAAGGATGTAGCTGAGTATGTGTCAAAGTGTTTAATTTGTCAGAAAGTTAAGATAGAGCATCAGAAACCTGCAGGATTACTTCAACCATTGGATATACCAGAATGGAAATGGGAGAGCATCTCTATGGATTTTGTTGTTGGTTTGCCTCGGACTCAAACTGGTCACGATTCAATTTGGGTAATAATGGACAGACTTACAAAGTCTGCACATTTTCTCCCAGTGCGAGTGGACTTCTCTACGGAGAAACTAGCTAAGTTATATGTAAAGGAGATTGTAAGGCTCCACGGGATACCGGTTAGCATTGTTAGTGATCGGGACCCGAAATTCACTTCTCATTTTTGGGGATCCTTGCAGCAGGCTTTTGGCACTCAGGTTCGGCTGAGCACTGCGTATCACCCGCAAACGAATGGTCAGACAGAGAGGACTATACAGACACTTGAGGAAATGCTGAGAGCTTGCACACTTGAGCAGGGCACTGCTTGGGATAGATATTTATCACTGGTAGAATTTTCTTATAATAACAGTTTTCACTCCAGTTTGGGCATGGCACTGTATGAGGCATTGTATAGGCGGAGATGTCGGACTCCTACCTGTTGGACTGAGGTAGGTGATAAAGAGAGATTTGAGCCGAATTTTGTGCAAGAAACTACAACATAGATTGAAATCATCAGAGAAAAACTAAAACAGGAACAGAAACGACAGAAGAGTTACTATGATAATAGACACAGACCGCTGGAA